GGGCCACTGGCCGATAGTCATTCAGACCAGTCACTGTAGAGCTTTTTGGGACTGGGATGATGGTGGCAGTCTTCAGGCAGGTTGGAACGGTCTCCAGGGTAGGTGACGTGTTAAAGAGGTCTGCCAGCACCTCGCAGAGCTGATCAGCACATTCTTTCAACACTTTTCCGGGGATGTTATCTGGGCCAGTTGCCTTGTGTGGATTAATCCTCCTGAAAGTACTCCTTACTGCTGCCAAGGGCACGCTGAGAAGCTCTTCATCCGGTGGTGAGGTGAGTCTGGTGCTGGGTGGTCTGTTCGGGTCTTCAAAGTATGCATAGAACTTGTTGAGGGTATCAGGCAGAGATGGGTCTTTGGGGCATTGTCCGGTCCTTCCTTTATAATCTGTTATGCACTTAATGCCCCTCCACATACTCCGAGGGTCTTGTGAGATGAATTGACCCTCGATCCTCTGTGCATATGTGGCCTTGGCCTTCTTAATACCAGCAACTAGCTCTTTTCTTGTCCTACTCAGCTCCTGTGAGCTTCTAGACCTGAAGGCATTGTTCCTGGCTTCCAGCAGGGTGCACACCTCTGCATTCAGCCAAGGTTTTCTGTTTGGGTAGCTTTTAACATGTCTGAGAGTGGCGACTGTGTCAGTACATGTACTAATGTAACCCAGAACTGAAGATGCGTATTGGTCCAGATCAAGCGATCTGCCATTTTCAGCAGCTTCTCTGAAAACCTGCCAGTCTGTTCGATCAAAACAATCTCTCAGTATGGGGCCACTGTCCTGGATCCAATATTTAACTTTCTTTTGTACCAGTCTGGAGCGTCTCAGCGGGGTCATGTAAGCAGGGGCCAAGAAGATTGAGATGTGGTCTGACAGTCCTAGGTGGGGACGGGGTTCGGCTTTTATGAATGTGAAATATCAGCTTTATGCTGATGATATGTAGCTCTACTGTTCATTTAAGCAAAGTGAGCTTCATAAACTCAAGTCTTTAACAAACTGCTTGTCTAACATTAAACAGTGGTTAACTGACAACTACTTATAATTGAACTCATTAGACTGAAACTCTGATTAGTGACCCTGAAAAAAAGGTTCCCAAATTAAACAGTTCATTGGTGTCTTAAGTCCTTCTGTTCAGTCCAGACTCAGGACCTTGGTGTCATGCTTGATTCTGTGATGTCTTTAAAACAACATATAAAACAACTAGAAACTGCCACTTCCATCTCAGGAATAGCTCAAAATTGAAGTTTCTTGTGAAAAACTGAACTTGAGATGATCATTCATGCTTTTATTTCTTCTTGTTTCGATACTGTAACAGCTTATTTACATGTTCCAACAGGAAGTTGGACCATCTTCAGGTTGTACAGAACTTGGCTGTAAGATTAACTCAAACAAGCTCACATCACGCCTGTTTTAGTTCCCTTCACTGGTTCCTAGTTCATTTTAGACTTCATTTTAAAATTCTAGTTTTAACTTTTACAGATTTGCATAAATAACCTCCTTCTTACATCTCTGACATGGTTCAGCTCCATGTATGCAACTTTTATCTTACTGTGAAGCAATGTGTGATGCTATATCTATGAAAGGTGCTATACAAGTAATTTTTACTTACCGGTACTTTCAGAGAGTAAATATTGGGAAAACGTCAAGCAGATCTTACTTTTTGGCAAGAGCCCTTCTTTCTTCTGGGGTATAATCCAGAGATCCGATTGCACCCTCTCCTTTTGTTGGCATGAATCCTATTATAGCTATTAGGGCAGTTCGAACTAGAAGACAAAAGATGAGGGGAAATTCAATGACAAGAGTTCGATTACAATCGGAGCACATCAATACAGTCTAATAGAAGCGATACACCAATGTGCCCTGTTACTGAAGTGTTCGAATAATAAATGTTTTAGTTTTTGAGAGTAGTGTTTGTTGGGACTGAAGTTGAACAGAGAATGAAAGTAAATCCCATTGAGTCCTCGAGGCTCAATGGGATTACCTGTCTAAAGGTAAAGGTTGAATGAAAAATACAACTTTATTTATAACGCACTTTAAAACAACAACGTTGGCCAAAGTGCTGTACACTAACACATACAAGGATAAAAACTATGAACTCGACAAATACCATAAAAGTAATGAACTACCAAATCATAAAACAGCAAACAGTAACAACAATAAAACAAATAACATAAAACAGTAAAGCCAACATTTCAAGCTGCGTTAAAAGCCAAAGAGAAAAAATGAATCTTCAGAGCAGATTTAAAAACAGGAAGCGAGTCAGCTTGTCTGACGTGCAAAGGCAGCTCGTTCCACAGTTTAGGGGCAGCGACTGAGAATGCTCGGTCACCTCTCAGCCTCCTGTTGGACTTTGGGACGGCCAACAGCAGCTGATCAGCTGACCTAAGAGAGCGTGAGGGAATGTACGGCTGGAGAAGGTTGGACAGATACTGTGGGGCGAGACCATGAAGACATTTGAATACAAACAAAAGAACTTTAAAATTAATCCGGAAACGAAATGGGAGCCAGTGTAGCGATTTTAAAACAGGGGTGATGTGATCTCGTTTTCTGGTGCCAGTTAAAAGATGAGCAGCAGCATTCTGAACCAGCTGAAGTCGAGTCAGTAATGACTGGCTCATACCGACATAAAGTGAATTGCAATAGTCCAGACGAGTTGTAATGAAAGCATGGATTAAAATCTCAAAATGTTGTGATAGGAATGGTTTCACCTTGGCCAGTTGTCTCAGGTGATAAAAGCTGGGCTTGACCACAGATTTAATCTGAGCATCCAGTTTAAAATCATTGTCCAGCCTCACACACAGGTTGGTTGCTGTCTCAGTCATATGTTAAGTTAAAGGACCCAGATCAACATGGACTTTAGAACCATCACTGGGCTTAAACAACAAGACCTCTGTCTTTTTCTCATTAAAGTGTAAAAAGTTCTGTGACATCCATGCTCTGACTTCTGCCATACATTCCAGGAGTTGGTTCAAGGAGTACTGTTTATCTTGTTTCAAAGGAACATAAATTTGGCTGTCATCGGCGTAAAAATGAAAAGAAACACCATGTTTTCGTGGACTATATCCCAGAGGTAGTAAATAAAGGGAAAACAGAAGGGTTTTACCATTTACCATGCCACAAGTGCTCATGCAACCTCATACCATCAGTGCATTACTGCAGCTAAATGAATAATAGCGAAATCATACAAGTTTGTAAACAATATAATACTGTCAATTATTAAATACAGTTTACACTAAAAGTGTAAGTTAAGTTGAAAGATCATTTACAAATGTTCCAATCTGTTTTCAATAGTTATGTGGTATTTGTTTCTCTCCTCTTTATAAAAGCAAAGCCATGCGACTCAATCAAAGGTTTCTCTCCAGCTGGCTGCAGTTACAATAGTTATAACATGCTTATAACATGCTGAACATTCAGACATTAAATTTAAATGCAAAAAAAAAAAAAAAAAAAGAAGAAATTTAATTTAATTTGAATTTCATGTTGAAAGGAGCACTCTACACCTTCACTTTGTACTTTAATGTACAACTTGATTTTTATTTTATTTAGTGATATAATGTAAATGCCAAAGATGACTGTTTTAAACAAAATTAACCTACATAAATTGTGGATTAAGATTTTTGGAGGAAAACTAGTTGTTCAGATTATCTGAATACTTCTTCCACTTGGTTTCTTGGACATATAAAATGTTTACCTTCCTTCTCTGCATCATGTCAGTCAGCTCTCTACCTTTCCCAACATTAGGACCCCATGTCCTACATTCTTTACTTTCCTCTTCTCCTTCTGTCTCCTGACACATTTACCTACTTGTGGTATTTGGCTAACAGTAGCATAACTCCCATCAGCACCCTATTTGTCAAAAGCTCAGGTGGTGGTGGTGGTGGTGGTGGTGGTGGTTGTTAGGTCGGGTGTCCAGGAACACCACAAACAGGACTGAAGACAAGGGACAGCTCGGGTGGAGTCTAACTCTCACCGAGAACAAGCTCGACTCAGTGCCAAAGATGCAGACAAGATCCTGCTTTGGTTATACGGGGACAAGATAGTCCTTCAAAGCAACCCAGCACCCCATACTACTGTAGGTCCCCGACAAAATGACTCGTGGAACACGGTCATGTCCTCCAAGTGCACAAAACACATGTAGAGTGGACAGTCAAACTGCATGAACCACTTAGCAGCCCTGCATGAGTGAAGATCTGGTACACTGTTCCAAGACAAGGATGAACACTGAGGTTTCACATTTTCAAAATATTCCTTCCAACTCCCTTTGCTTCTGAATATTTATCATAAATGCTCTAAAACACTGGTTCGTAATGAGAGTAAACAATAAATGAAATAAACTAACAACTTATTGCATACATGTAAAATCTGCCTTTTTTGTCATAGCAACTTACTACTCCAAGATGGCTGCCAGGTCTCAGGATGGTGGCCAGAGATGCTCAAACAAATCTTCTTCCCTACTTCAAATCTCCCATTTGGCTGAAAGGAATAAAAACACACAGGAGGTATGTGACTGAATGAAACACACACTTAACAGAGCTACAGAGCCGTACAGTTGATCAATGATGAAAACAGCAACTATACAGGCTGAGATTTCTGAAATACAAACAAAAATATATTTAGGGCCCCAAACTGTGACCATTAATATAATTGTATGATGGAGCTGTTATCTGTGTCTTACTGTGAGCAGAATGATGCTGGGGGGCTTCATGGGGTATTCTGGGGGCAGTACAATCCTGCCATGGTAAACCCCACCATCAAAATCAGAATCTGGGGGCCCACGTACAGAGAAGTGCCATTCAAACAGGTTATCCTGGAAACGGAAGGAAATGTCCCATTGAACACTTGTGTGACCACATAAACTTCTAGGGCAGTGATGAGACAGACCATTCTTGCACTGAAGAAATGTTTTCTTTTTATCACAATAAAAAAAGTTAGTGGAGAAATAATTGCTTGATCTTCTGCTGATTGAAGTTTTTTCAGTTACAAAGAAAGGAGCCGTCTCTAATGTTATGGTAGTTACAATTCAATTACAAAAGATAACTAAAACTCCAGAAAAAATATACATAAAAGTTACAAAATGGTTTGTATGTCAATGAATAAAACAAAGATTTATTCTCCAATCAAAACAAGAGAAATCGAAGCCATATCTTCCTCCACAGAAATTCAACACAAGTCAGGGCTGGTGTCTGAATTGAGAAAAAGTGTTGTGTTAATCAGTTGCGCCTATGAAAAAGTTGCCAAATGTTCTCTGCTAATGCCAAAAAACATATTCTGCAATGTCATTTTTTATGAGCTACTGGTACTCCAAGTATTGACAATCAGCACTTGTGAGCAACCAGTGGTAATCCCATATCTCTAAAGTCTAGAATCAAACATCCATCCATCCATCAATTATCTTTTACCCGCTTCTTCCTTTTTGGGTTACAGGGGTCACTGGTACCCATGTCCAGCAATCACTGTGCGAGAGGCGGGAGACACCCTGGACAGGTCTCCTGTCCATCACAGGGCAGAACCAAACTCTATCCTCACTAATAACACTCAATGAAAAGCTGTTAGAGAGCTAAATGAACCAGTTCCCTGAAAATATTTGCAATCTCATAACTAGTTTGTCCCAGTGTGACCAGCCCAACCATACTGGCTGGCTTAAAACAAATGCTGGTTTAAAGATAGGATGTCATCCCGGTGTGTGACACCAAGCTGGTGAGCAGTGTGAGGAGGGGGTGCCAGGCTGTTGGGGCTGTGTATGGTTCTTCTACATGCCACTGGGGTGCATGTTTGCTAAATTAATAAATTGTTAATTAGTTAATAGTTAATTATAGTTAACAGTTAATTAGGCTTTTTTTTTTTTAACTTCAATCATCCAATCCAATCAATATATGTTAACATGCGCAACATTTTTTGACCGGATTGAAATGTTTTCAGATTAAATAATTCAAATATATTGTTTACATGGGCAGAATCCGTTCATGACAAGTGTTTGCATGCAGCGGGCTTTGTTCTGAACAGAAGTACTGACATGTGCAGAGTGGTAAACTCTCCTTAAAAAAACACGGAAGAAGTTCTACTTCCGGGGTGAACATAAACAAACCTGAGCACCCAAAATGGACCCGCGACAGGTTTTAAGTTTTAATGACGGTGGAGACGTTACTGTTGTTACTGTTGTGTCGCTCACCGACCAGTTTTGCTTCCATGACATGCTAATGTTATTAGCATTAGCCAGGTGGAAATGGCAAAGTCGCACATGTGCAGTCAGGTCAGTTTTTTACCATCAGATAAAAACGAACAGATCAAGTGTTTACAAGCGCATCGCTCAGGTTATGAATCAGCGTAAACCACCCATTTCGTTCTGATCACAAATTATTTTGGATCACGCTGAATAAACAAAAAACAACCCGAACAGGGTATTTACATGACGCGTTTTTGTTCCGAATGACGCGTTTTTGTTCCGAACGACTGTTTGATCCGGTTACTTATGTCCATGTAAACATAGCTAACAAGAGTCAGTTGCAGACTTGTGTGTTTAGCACTGGCAGAGAATGGTAAATGGACTGTACTTATACATAGCACCTTTCTATCTAATCAAGATACTGAAAGCTCTTTACAACAATCTGTGCCTCATTTATTTCTACACACATTCATACAACACTCTACTACATCTCTACAAAGATAAGCTGAATCTGTAGAGACTAATCAGAACTTTAGATCACACTCAAATATCGGAGGTAATGAGAGGTTCAGTGTCTTGCCCAGGGACACTTCAAAATGTGACTGCTGGTGGAATCGAACCCTCAGGACAGCTGCTCTAACCATTCAGCCACAGCTGCCTCTCTTCACCAGACAAGACTGGTACGTTTTTCATGAGTGCAACCAACATACTCAACTCTGCCGCTTAACCCGCAGATGTTCGTTCATTCATCCTTTATTTATACAGGTTAATCCCATTGAGCCTCGAGGGCTCATTTACAAGAGAGACCTGATTTCTTTAACAAAGAGTGATGACAACAGTGTATTTTCCTACAAGAATGGCACAATTTAAGGGGAAAAAACAGACTTTCCAACTGTGTAAGTTTTATTGCTAAAAGCACTGTTACAACTAAAAACTAATCAATCAAACGCAGAGTTACGGTAAACAGTTCTCAAAAATATGGTGCCAACCATCCACAGGTTAAAAAAAAAAGATCAGAATAAGAAGTGCTGCATTAGTATTTTTATGAACAGGTAATATTACTGTACATTGGTAAGTTTTTAATACAACCTAGACAGGACACAACAGTGCTTTATAAGAGTGCACCGTTTACTATTTTTTGCAGTGTGACTGGAACCTGTCAAGGACTTACTTCTAGAGGCTGGGCATGGTAGTGCTCTGTGGGATCCCTCAATTCTGCAGCCTCCTTCATCAGCCTCTTTACCGCTAGTCATTGGAATTGGACACACATAAACACACAATGGTTAGCTGCCTCAGCTGGAACATAAAACGTAAAAATATTATTTCACCCCACAAAGTAGTTCCTCCTAGTAAATAACGTAAACTACTGAATTATGTAGCGTGTATTGTTTTGAGTTTTTCAACTTTTTACCATTTTAAATGGACTTTAATTTTTTTTTTTTTAGCAGTTCATTATCCGTTTTTTACTTATTTGCACTTATGGGTCAGTAGAAGTCACTGACCCTGTTCATCAGTGGATTTATGATTTACTAAATCTTCCCGTGGGCAGTAATGGAACAGGCAGCTCCAATAGAGTTCCATAAGGATGTAAAATATTCAACCCTGGACACGTTCTGCTGATGTTAGCTCATTGTTACGACTACTCCCAGGTCTGGATCTCAGGTGAGCTCAAACACAGACCAGCACCACATAACTCATGTTTCAGAACTAAAGTAAAGAGCACACTCTAGTTAAAGAGCATGATGGTAAACTTAGGATCAATGACAGAAAAAGTTGTAATGGTGGAACTGAACACCATGATGGTTAGCACTGTTGCCTCACAGCAAGAAGGTTACAAGTTCAAAACTCAGCTGCAGCCTTTCTGGACAGTGTGTGCATCACATGCCTTGCTGTTCATTACATGTGCCCATTTCAGGCTGAACCTCTGTCAACAGGAAGCCAAAGGTACAAAAACCTCCCTCATATTTATGTGACAAATTGCCTTTGGTTTTAGAGATCTGGTCACCAGCTCAAGGTGAAGCCACAATAATTCAAGCATGCTAAATCATCTTATGTAACACTTTTTGAGTGTCTACCAAAGGGAATGATCCATGGTGGGGCATTACATAATAAAAGCCCAACATTAGGGACAAGAAACACACTAAGAAGGCAGGGAAACAACTCCTCCAAATGAGCACTTTTCTAAAGATAGTCCTGAAAACTTTGAAATAATGTTCTGTCTAATAGGTATTGAAAATTAATACTTTGTCATTTGAGACATACATGTAAGTCAAAGTGCACGAAGGATGGACAAAGAGGCAAATGTCTTTGTTCAGGCTAAACTAATGGCTAGCAAAACCAGTGCCAGTTTTTCATATGTTTTTAAAACAATGTCTTAAAGAATGCTACATTAGCATCAAATTCAATGACTGCTGCCTTACAAAAGTGTTTATTATTAGCCAATAAAGTGTTGTTTCAGCTTTCTTACAGCTAAAATGGTGGAGGTATTTAAATGTATCCAGTGGTTTTATACAAAGAAATAAGGGGGTTTATTTGGCAGATTTCTTCAAGTTACTTCTGGACAAATAGGTAGAGGTTCACCTGATCCTGTCAACACACCGCCCAGAGAGCCTGCTGAGGAGTCGTACAGTCGACCATGTTTCGACAGGGAAAACTAGAATTCTAGCTCTTAGTTTAATGCCGTTTACCAGAGTTTTCTTTTCAGCATCCCAGTTCAAGTTTGTCAAGAAAGTCAGACAAAGACTCTACTTCCTAAGAAGACTCATGAAATTTGGTATGAACACCAGAATCTATAGGAGCACCATTGAGAGTCTGCTGACAGGCTGCATCACAGGGTGGTATGGGAACTGCACCAGTCAGAGATGGAAAGCTCTACAGAGTGTGGTGCAAACAGCAGAGGACATCACTGGTAGCAGTCTCCACATCATCCAGGACATCTACCACAGCCGATGTCTGCGTAAAGCACGCAGCATCATTAAGGACTACACTCACCCAGCACAAGGACTCTTCCATCTACTACCCTCAGGCAGACAATACAGGAGTCTGTCATCACGTACACAAAGACTCAAAGACAATTATTATCCACAAGCTGTCAGATTACTGAACTCTTGATAATACTGAACAACTGGCAACAACATTGCACCAAACCAACAAAGTCCATGCTCAATAATCCAGGTATACAATCCAACAATTTTCAGTCAGGTCATCTGGACAGTTTCTTTTTTTTTTTTTTTGTGCTGAAACGTTTCCCCTTCCATCCAGAAGGCTTCATCAATCAAGGAAACACACAACACAAAACTGATTCTTCCCCCAACAGCTTACTCCAAAGTGGAACAAACCAGTTTTGTTGTTGCTACAAAACTGTCCAGATGACCCGACTGAAAAATTGTTGGATTGTATACCTGGATTATTGAACATGGACTTTGTTGGTTTTGAACCAGTTTGACATGACTGTCGACGAGGAAGAGGGCCGGCACTGGAGGAGAGGGAATGCCAAAGAGACCATCTTAGCAGCAACAAAACTGGTTTGTTCCACTTTGGAGTAAGCTGTTGGGGGAAGAATCAGTTTTGTGTTGTGTGTTTCCTTGACTGATGAAGCCTTCTGGATGGAAGGTGAAATGTTTCAGCACAAAAAAAAAAGAAAAAAAAAAGAAACTGTCCAGATGACCTGACTGAAAATTGTTGGATTGCACCAAACCACATCTGTGACAACTAATATGTTTATTGCTGCTGCACTATGTGGCTGTATCATGTATGTCACTTACAATTCAGTTCAATTCAGTTTATTTCAATAGCGCCAAGTCACAAAATAAGTCGTCTCAGGACAATGAGCAGAAACAGTCATATATAAAAATAATAAGTTAACATTATTTATCTGAGGAGCAGACTACTTTGAATTTAACTCCATCACAGAACTCTCATCTTGAGCAAGCATGAAGGTGACAGCGGGAAGGAAAAACTCCCTCATGAGGAAGAAACTTTTAGCAGAACCAGGTTCAGGACAAGCGGTCATCTGCTGTTAAGATAGAAACAGTATCAAATGAAAACTATTCAATTTTAACAATTAATTTAAGGAAATGAGGTCAATTTGTCCTCCACTAGTCTAAGCTTAAGAAAGCATGACAAGCCGACCCTAACTATAGGATTTATCAAAAAGGAAAGTCTTAAGCCCAGTCTTAAAACTGGACAATGTGTCAGCCTCACGGACAGAAACTGGAAGTTGGTTCCACAAGAGAGGAGCCTGATAACTGAAAGATTTTCCTTCCATTCTGCTATTGGAAACTCAAGGAACCACAAGTAAACTTGCAGTCTGAGAGCAAAGTGCACTGCTAGGAAAACATGGAATAAGATCTGTAATATAAGATTACCATCATAATTCAGTCTCAGTGTCACTCACTACCTGTGCAACAACCTGTGTAGTTTATGTTAGTTATGTGCAATATATATGTATATTTAAGCTAATATTACTACCCTGAAATACTTAGTTTTACTAATTCATTGTAATTCCACTGTTATATTTTATGGTGTCCAGGTTGTTGTTTACTGTATTTCTTTTGGACCTTGTAAATATTATATTTCGTTTTCACTTTTTGGTACTTTGTTTTACACCCTTACTGCATGCTTCAGTATTTCTTTTTTTTCTTTTCTTAGTGAGTCAAATCGTTTCTTCTCATCCTGAACATTTCATTGCACTGTTGACCTTGTGTTAACCTGCATATGACAAACAAACAACAAAACATCCCACATCTTTTTGAACATGAAAAGATCTCCCCTACAGGCGCTGACATAATGAGCCAAAAACGATGTGTCCGAAACATCAGTGTCCTCCCCGGTTGTTGTGTTGTGTAATACACCATCTGGACCTCGGGACACGGTTTATGGTTTTTGGCCAATCCAAAATGCTGACTCAGAGAAATGACTTTGACTGACTCTTCAGCGTTTAGCAAATAGGTGCACATAAAAATGGACGTCAAATCACATAAAACATTAAATTAAATTTTTTGCTAAGATTTTCTTCACATCAGTTGAAAGAACTGAAAGAAATATCCAACATTTGATCACTTCCACTCTATGTATCAGAAGAAAACTGTTTCCCTTGTCCAGACGAGTTTGTGTACATGTCTATCTGACAGGAAGACGTGCTTCTTTGGTTTGCCTGTTTTATTCTGTATGCTGTTTTGGCTTCTGCTATTCACTAGTTTGTGTACTACCACCCTGTACTACCACCACTTTCATGTTGGAAAGGTAGGTCCATTTGTGCAGGCTAACATCATACATCTAAGTGCACAGTGGATGGTGGTGTGTTTCAGTGCTATTTGTTTTACCAGGCACAAGGAGACACAGCAGAGGTTTATAAATCCTCACAGATGGTCACAGGGGAGGGTGGAGGCTTATTCCTGCTGAAATCTACCATCATCTCTTGTTTTGGTCACGTTTAGCTGCAGGTGGTTCTCTTACACCATCCCACAAACCAGTTTATCAGTTCTCTGGACTTATCCTCCTGGACACACCCAGCTGAGCGGTGACATTTGAGATTCTCTGCAGATTACATGGTTCTGTGCAGAACTGAAACCCAGCTGTGTAGGTAGTGAAAAGGAAAGGAGAGAGCACAGTTTCCTGTGGAGTGTCGATGTTGCTGAACAGACACACATTGTTCAGCAACATCTCCTTTCTTCCTGTCCAACACCTGTCAGTCTATGTGATCACAGGAGTTGTTCTTCAGCCTGGACGGTGTTGAAGGAGCTGGAGAAGTCAAAGAACATGATGTGGAAGGTGGTGCTAGATCTGTCTATAATAAATGTGTTCTCAACTTGCATATAGTGTGGCTTGCTTGTCAATGTAATTTTCCCCCTTAAAGCTGAGGTACTTACAAATGCTGAACTAGGCCTGTCATGATAACAAATTTTGCTGGGCGATTAATTGTCTCAGAAATCATTGTGATAAACGATAATCTTGTTTGAAATGTAACAATAATTAGTAATTATTGTCAAATTTATGAAGAACTGTTGGTTAATTTTTTGTGTAACATCTTTTTTTGACCACTGGATGGCAGTACAAGACTGTTTGAACCAAAGGGTGGATGGTGAGGGAGCAAACAGCGCGTCTCTTTAAGAAAAATGGGAGGGAGGCCCTTTGACGTGACATGTGCTGTCTCTCCTTCCTTTTTTCGGTTCTCAAAATGGCAGACGCTCGGTGTGGTTTGAGCTCTTTAGCATAGCATTTCACACAAAGCTTTTAATAAAAAAACAAGTAAACAAGTTCTCAGCTTCTTTTGCAGAGAAAAAACAACTTTTTACACAAAGGCACAAGTTTCAACTGTGAATTTTGGAGCTTCGACAAGACGGAGATTTTTTCCTGAGGTTGGCTTGTTAGCTTAGCTCGTAACTTAGCTTCTCAGCTTAGCTGCTTTAAACGATCCAAAAACGTGATTTTGGACGATTAAAACAGATTTTAAAGAGAAATGAGAAAGGGAGGGGTCAGTGAAGAGCACCGGAGTTGAGCTTTTTGTCATCCAGTGTCTTCAGAGATACAAAGAAACGATAAAGCCGATAAATGAAAATGAGGTTGATAATTTTCATTTATCATGCGATTAATTGATTTATTGATCAACATCATCAGGCCAGGACTCTGTGGTCTACACTCATCTCCAAGCCAGCGATCACTTGTTCAGGGATCAAGATGTTCACATCCTGGATAGAGAGGGACGATGGTTTGAGAGAGGAGTAAAGGAGGCCATCTTTGTGAAAAGAAACCTTCCATCATTAAACAAGGGTGGAGGCCTCCAAGGTTCAACTGTCCCACTCTTTCAATGCTGTTATTGCTAGTATCACTCAACCCCCTGTGAATGGCAAGCGGCCATTAGAGCACTAACAATCGGCTGTTAGGTTGATGGTCCTCCTTGATCATGTGAACAGCTAGTTCTGGATGTCAACAACAAATGGACTGATCCACTATGAGAAGGTGCTATTTATGAGACTGAGTTTATTACAGATCCTCAGACTGAAGAAGTGTTTTTGATAAAATATTAAACGTTTCAACAAGTTTTTAAATATTAATTTTATTTTTTATTTTCATTCTTTCTTTTTTTAATCTGTCCAGAGGACCTCACTTAACTTTGTTAGACACGCCCAGATAGTTCCGTTTTCCGAGGCAATGGAACGCAACGTCTGATGACGTCAGTGAAGACGAACCTATGGCTGCTGTTTCTGCCGCACCAGCAGCCAATCAGAACTGACCAGGACACGTCTAATAAAGATAACCCTTCAATGGTTTTATAACAAATTAAACATGTTTACATTTCAAACTGCACATTTTTAGACGGGTCTGACAGTGTGAGACAACTGGGCTGATGGTTGGAGGATTTTGTTCTATGAGATCCTCTTATAATAAGCTGACTTAGATGGATCAGTATGACAAAACAGCTGAAGAACATTTAACAGCTGTCTTACCTGGACTCTTCAAGTTGTATTTATTTTCCATGCTGACAGACTCGGTCTGTGTGAGCTGTCGACAGGTCCTTTCTCTTACACGTTAGCCCAGATATTAGCAGCCGGTTCGGTTCAGTGTCCAGTCCAACATGCAGGCCCACAAAACGGTTCCGTGTCCGCTGGGTCTCACTAAGCTGGATGGATGTCCAAGAGTGTCCAAACACAGATCCTGCTCCTTTCTAAACTTCCCCGATGGTTTACTTTCGAAAGCGTTATCAGCGTGACGTCACGGTTTAAACGTAAACAGGAAGTGACTTATTCTAGTTTCGGCAGTATTGAACCTTTAGGGAGCGTTACTGCCCTCCACAGGACACACGGCTCTAAACGTATAGTATACTGTAAAACATCGTTTAATACCAATAAAAAGCCAATCAGTCCTTGAGTAAATGCATATCGCCCGCTTCATTTCTAGTAAATTTTAAACTGACGTCATTTTGTGTTGAGATATGAGGAAGATGAAGCTGTTTTGGTCGAACACTATAATTTTATGTGCAATCCCATTTATGTCTGATAACGACGGTGTGTGTTGTAAATGATCTTCAGCTACTACCACGCTAAGATTTAGCTCAATATTTGTAAAGCTGACCTAGTTATAGTCATTTAAGTTACTTGGGGTTTGCTAAGGTCCATTAGCAGTGGTGGCCATCTTGGATTGGGCTGACTCCAAATCAGCTGTAGAGGAATCAATGATAACTTACAAAGAGTTTTATTAAAATCAGGCCAGTTTTCATAAAACATTTTGGAAACTCTCGTTAATACACAACATGTATTTAGTGAATATGCGTCCCACTTGCAAAATGAATTGGAATGAGCAGAGGCTGCACAATATATACTGTGTCATTTCTCATACTGTAACTTGATTTTATTTTTTTTTATATTTCATTACTATTATTTACTTTTTACTTTTATTTTACAGTATATGAACTTTATTAAACCATCCATCCATTATCTTTTACCTGCTTCTTCCATTTTGGGTCACGGGGGTCGCCGATGCCCATGTCCAGCAATCACTGTGCGAGGGTCGGGTACACCCTGGACGGGTCTCCAGTCCATCACAGGACCACATAGAGACAAACGAGACAGACAACCATTCAATCTCTCACTCACACCTAGGGACAATTTAGAGTTACCAATCAGCCTAACATGCATATTTTTGGTCTGGGAGGAAACCCAAGTACCCGGAGAAAACCCACGCATGCACAGAGAGGACATCCAAACTCCATCCAGAAGGGCCCCCCGGACCAGGATTTGAACCACAGACCTGCTCGCTGAGAGGTGCACCACCGTGCTGCCTAAAAGGAAGCATACAAATTGAAAAAATAAATGGAAGAAAATGATAGTACAAATTGAAACAAAAACAGCTACGTAGAAAACTAAAAACAGAAACATGTCTGTGTTGGTTTTTCCCATGAACTTAGCTGATGTTTGAAGACACTTGGAGAGGTCAGGAGCTTCAGATCTTTTTGCAAGATATTCCAGAAAACAGGAGCAGAGTAGGAGAAGGCCCCTTTGCCTAGTTCAGTTCAGCTGCACTCATGCATGTGTTAGTGCAGTATATACAATCTGGATTCCAAAAAAGTTGGGACACTAAACAAATTGTGAATAAAAACTGAATGCAATGATGTGGAGGTGCCAACATCTAATATTTTATTCAGAATAGAACACAAATCACAGATCAAAAGTTTAAACTGTGAGAATGTATAATTTTAAGGGAAAAATCTGTTGTTTCCAAATTTCATGGCGTCAACAAATCCCAAAAAAGTTTGGACATGTCCATTTTTACCACTGCGTGGCATCCCTCCTTCTTCTTGCAAGACTCAACAGACGTCTGGGGACAGAGGAGACCAGTTTCTCAAGTTTAGAAATAGGAATGCTCTCCCATTCATGTCTAATACAGGCCTCTAACTGTTCAATCGTCTTGGGCCTTCTTTGTCGCACCTTCCTTTTTATGATGTGCCAAATGTTCTCTATAGGTGAAAGATCTGGACTGCAGGCTGGCCATTTCAGTACCCGGAGCCTTCTCCTATGTAGCCATGATGTTGTGATTGCTGCAGAATGTGGTCTGGCATTATCGTGTTGAAAAATGCAGGGTCTTCCCTGAAAGAGATGACGTCTAGATGGGAGCATATGTTGTTCTAGAACCTGAACATAGTTCTCTGCATTAATGGTGCCTTTCCAGACATGCAAGCTGCCCATGCCACAAGCGCTCATGCAACCCCATACTATCAGTGATGCAGGCTTCTGAACGGAGCATTGATAACAACTTGGGCTATCCTTGTCCTCTCTGGTCCGGATGACATGGCGTCCCAGCGTTCCATAAAGAACTTCAAATCGTGACTCATCTGACCACAGAACAGTCTTCCATTTTGCCACACTCCATTTTAAATGACCCCTGGCCCAGTGCAAACGTATGAGCTTGTGGAGCTTGCTTAGAAATGGCTTCCTCTTTGCACTGTAGAGTTTCAGCTGGCAACGGCGGATGGCACGGTGGATTGTGTTCACTGACAATGCTTTCTGGAAGTATTCCTGAGCCCATTCTGTTATTTCCTTGACAGTGGCATTCCTGTTTGAGGTGCAGTGACGTTTAAGGGCCCGGAGATCATGAACATCCAGTAGAGTTTTACGGCCTTGACCCTTACGCACAGCGATTGTTCCAGATTCTCTGAATCTTTTGATGATGTTATGCACGGTTGATGATGATGATAACTTAAAAGTCTTTGCTATTTTACGCTGGGTAACACCATTCTGGTATTGCTGCACTATCTTTCTGTGCTACAATAGTGGAATTGGTGATCCTCTTACCATCTTGGCTTCTGAGAGACACTGACACTCTGAGAAGCTCTTTTTATACCCA